GATGTTAGTTTGTAGGAGGAAATAAAGTTTTTGTGAACAGACTACTCAAAAGGTATGAGACTGCAGAATTTTCAAAAGATACATCCCTTTACTGAAGCCACTAGATAACCACTAATGGTAAAAGAAAAACAGGTAGCAGAAAGTCCATTTGTGGCTTTCTTCTGAAGACTAGAATTAATGGTAGGGCACTATTCTGTAGTGATAGTGTAAGATATAGTATATAGGTAGTTTTCATTAGGCAGCTGATAAAGAGAACATCACATACTATTCAGGTAGGAGAAGAAGTTTATTTGCCAAACTACTGCCCCTGCCATGCATGGTGGAGAGGCATGGCTGAAAAGGAATGGGGGACCCACCCCTGGGCCAGGACTTATCTAGGCCAGGGACAGGAAGAGGTGTAGCCAGGTGGGGAAAAGGTGTGGCCACACAGGATCCGGATGTGACCTCAGGGTCTGGGACCCTCCTAAGGCAGATGGGAGGCATGTGACCAGACATGGCCCAAGATGTGACCTAGCAGGAGGGAAGGTGACTACTTCCAGGTCTGCCAGTTACCTAGGTAACAGATACTGGGTGGGAACTTAGCCAAGAGGGAGGGAGGTGTCCCTGTGCAGACCCTACAGATAGCAAAGACGGAAATCCACAGTAATGGAAGATACGTGAAAGTTCTTCCTTTTCAAAATCTAGGTGATCACTGTTATTATTATAGCACCCATATTTCTGAAGTACAAAATTCTTGACCTAAAAAATGGTTAATGGAAAGGTTAATGATAAAACAAAAATAGTTGAGCAGAAATAAATGGAAGTAGCATTTTCATTCATCTTAATATCATTTATCTTAGTATCATATTATCATTATTAGCATATGCTATTTTCTCCTTAGAGAATACATATACACAAGGGAATGATATTCAGCCAAAAATGCCTGGAATCCTGTTATTTGTGACAACATGGTTCAAAATGGATTTTTATATAAAGTGAAATTTATGAAATTCTAAACCAATAAGAAATATAAAAGCTTTGGTCTCATTAAAATTAAAGAATACCTTCCACAATAAGATCTTTTGTTCTATGAAATCTAGGCTGATATAAATAGTCAAATTTCAAAATACAGTATGTGAGAAATATAAAGAAAAAGGGAGACTATAGTGTTATAGGTAGAGGAGATTAGCAAGAGAGAAGGGATAGGGAAAAGTTTGATCAATGGTTACTGAGTGGCAGTTAGGAACAGGTTCTCTGCTCCATTGAACAGCACAGGGACCGTAGATAAGAGAGCACACTATAGCTTTCTTGAAAACTGGAAGAAACAATTATGTATGAGTAGGTAGATACATAAAGGCAGAGTCATACATTACTTCACTTTACTTGTATTGATACACCACCTATCTCTCATTAAAATGAACAATTTTGTGATTTTACTAAATCATGTGATTTATAGTATGAACTCAAAATAAATTCAATAAAAATAAAAGAAAAATTGTGCTATAGACAATCATGTGAATAATTCCATCAGGTGTCTAAGTTTGTTTTTCTTGTATTTTGCTTTTATATATCACCAGGGATAAAATGATTGCTATCATCAATAAAAATCAAGGCTGTAGGGTTTTTATTAATATGATAAGAAGATTATGATTGGCCTTCCTTTATTAGCAATGGCCAAAAACTCATATAATTTAATAAATTCATTACACAAAACAATTAATGAAACTCAGTTGTTATTCTAAGAGCCTATTTTCAGTAAAGTCAATGCTACCTCATCTTCAATGTGGTACCAGTACATAGAGGAGAGAAATATACCAACTGGTAGATATTATCAGTGGCTCCTCTTCCTTTTTTCCCCAACCAAAAACATGTGATTTTTTCCTCTTTTTTGAACAATATTTAAGTCACCATTAACATTAACATTTGTTTCTGCCTCTTTAGAAATCACTTGGCAGCAATTTTAAAAATGATAGTGGGATTATTTAGAAAACCTCATGTCCCCTGGTTTTTTTTTTTTGTCATTTTTCATTTTCCTAATAGCTGTGTAAAAAGCAAGCTCCTAATTTTATATGACCTGAGTTTAATTAGCTTGCCAAAGTCTCATAGTATTATCTATAAATGAACAAAGTAAAAAATAAATGGTAAAACCACATTCATAACACAACTATAAAGCATTCAAATTTCACAAAATCTATTTCAACAAATCAAGTTCAAATGGCTTTTTAAAATTTGTTTTTGTTGTACAGGTGATGAACTGAGGGCTTACAGTTACAATCCATATTAATCAAAACAGCTTGGTACTGGCACAAGAACAGACCTCAGGACCAATGGAATAGAATTGAAAACCCAGAAATGAACCTGAAGACCTATAGCCATCCAATCTTCTATAAGGGAGCTAAAAAAATAGAATGGAAAAAAGACAGCCTCTTCAGTAAATGGTGCTGGCAAAATTGGTTAACTACTTATATCAGGTAATAAGTACATTTCTTTTCTTTCTTTCTTTCTTTCTTTCTTTCTTTCTTTCTTTCTTTCTTTCTTTCTTTCTTTCTTTCTTCCTTCCTTCCTTCCTTCCTTCCTTCCTCCCTTTCTTCCTTTCTTCCTTCCTTCCTTCCTTCCTCCCTTTCTTCCTTCCTTCCTTCCTTCCTTCCTTCCTTCCTTTCTTTCTCTTTCTCTTTCTTCTTTCTTTCTTTCTTCCTTCCTTCTTCTTTCTTTCTTTCTCTCTCTTTCTTTCTTTCTTTCTTTCTTTCTTTCTTTCTTTCTTTCTTCTCTTTCTTTCTTTCTTTCTTTCTTTCTTTTCTTCCTTTCTTTTTCCCAGTCCCAGGGTTTGAACTCAGGGTCTGGGCACTGTCCCTCAGTTGCTTTTGCTCAAGGCTAGCACTTTACCACTTTGAGCCACAGACTCACTTCCAGCTTTTTCTGTTTATGTGGTACTGAGGAATTGAACCCAGGGCTTCATGCATTCTAGGCAAGCACTCTACCACTAAGCATTCCCAGAACAATGTCACCTATTCTATTATTTTCTCCCAGTTTTTTTCCCCTCTCCCCATGAGTTGTATAGTTCATTTTCAGCATAATGTGTAGTATCACTGTTGAATTAGTACACCCTTTGTCTCATTATTTCTATGCTTCCCCTTACTCTCCCCCAAACAGATAAACTTACATACTAGACAAAACGTACAGAAATAAAATACAGCCTCAAAATGGGGAAAACAAAACAAAAATCACAAAAAGTAATATAAACACGTCTTGTTTCCATTTCTTGGAGTTTAATTTGATAAATATCATTTTGAACCTTTGTAATCCTCTTCTAAGAATATCCTCCTTTGGTCTGACTGTGTGAATGTTTAAAGACCAGTGCTTATTTCATTTAATATAATTTTCCACAAGTCTTTCCATTTCCTTATGAATGGAGCAATATCATTTTTTCTGATGGAAGAATAACAAATGATTATTTTTTTTATTTAGAGAAAAGGCATTTAATTTAAAAAATAGTAAGTATGGATTTCAGGGAGGCTAGGTACCTTGCCAGTAGGTACACTGAATTAACAATAAGAACAAGAACAGGTGATAGGGAAAAAGTTTCATCAAAACTATCAGTACCCAAGAAATATACTCATCACCTTACTCATATAATTGTAACCCCTCTGTACAGCATCTTTACAATAAAATAAAATTTTTTAGAAAGAGAGGAAAAAATCAGTACAGCCAGGGAAACTAACTAGCACAAGGATGGCAAAGCCTTCACCTTCTTTTTTGGCGGGGGGGTTTCGGTCGTGGGGCCTGAACTCTGGACCTGGGCGCTGTCCCTCAGCTCTTCAGCTCAAGGCTAGCATTCTACCACTTGAGCCACAGCACCACTTCCGGCTTTTTTCTTTTTCCTTATGTGGTGCTGAGGAATCGAACCCAGGTAGCCAAGCGCTGTACCACTGAGCTATCTTCCCAGCCCAAAGCCTTCACCTTCTTAATCTGTTTGTCTATGTATAAAACATCCTTTAGAATTTTGGTAAAGAGTTTGATCAGAGTTTTATTGTGCAATCTATGGTCAAAATAAATGTTCTGGATAAGCTGGGCACTGGTGGCTCACATTTGTAATCCTACTTACTCAGGAGGCTAAGATCTGAGGATCACCATTCAAAGCCAAGGCTGGAAAGTCCTAGAGACTCTTCTCTCCTATTAACTACTCAGAAAAATATGCAAGTGGCCACTGTGGCTCAAAAAGTAGAAGGCTATCCTTGAGCAAAAAAAGCTCAGGGACAAAGTCCAGGCTCAGAATTCAAGTCCTAGAATAGGAAAAATGTATTTTGAGTAAGTGTCTGAAAAGTATCACTTGAGTATGTATCCTTTATGTGGGTTTTAATTTTATCACTTTCTCTGAGAAATTGAAGTTCTGGAAAGTTTCTCTTCATAGCAGTGGAATGTGAAAGGAATTATTAGCCTCCTCTATTCCAAGTTCCACCTAAAGTACAAACATTTGCAAAACCAAAAATTTAAAATAAATCAAAATGCAACCAGTGAAAGAAATGATAAACATATATTTAATTATTTCCCCACCTTACACAACTAACTTGAGTGATGCCTATCTTTCCTCTCATATTTTCTCTTTCCCTTCTATATTACCATCTACAAACACTTACATTTCAAAAACTTGGTTTAAACCTGGGCACCAATGGCTCATGCCTGTAATCATAGCTACTCAGGAGGCTGAGATCTGAGGACTGAGGTGCAAAGGCAGGCCAGGTGGGAAAGTCCACGAGAACTTTATCTCCAATAAACTACTCAGAAAAGGCTGGAAGTGGTGCCGGGGTTCAGTTGGTAGAGCACTAGCCTTGAGCCAAAGAAGCTCAATTGACTTGCAGTGTAAATAAACTTTCTGAAAAATGGGCTTGAGGTGTGTCTCACTTATCCTACATGCTGAAGTCCTGGGTTTGTTCCCCAGCTTGCTCACTTGAGCTCTCTCTCTCTCTCTCTCTCTCTCTCTCTCTCTCTCTCTCTCTCTCTCATGCACTCTCTCTCACACACACATAACTGTATTACAGAGTCATGGAAGAATCTGTACAATTCATTTATGTTAACATTTATGAATATGTGCTAAAAAGTTGTTATAAAGCAGGTGCTGTGTGTGTGCCTGTTATTTTCAGGTACCGAAGAAACAGAAATAGGCAGATCATTGAGCCTACTAGTTAAATATCAGTCTAGTCAACATACTGAGATATCCTTAAACAACAAATATATGTTGAAAAGAAGAAATAAGTTCATCATAAAGGTAAAATAGTCAAGTTTTAAAATATTAAAATTTTGGAAAATTGGAAATCCAGTCTTCAGTAATTAAACTCTTTATGTATGTATGTAACCACTAGTTCTTATCCAAGGCACACAATACTGTGGAAAGTGGCTACCAAAACCTGTGTATAGCATGCACTTCCAGAGAATGTAAAATTTTACTGGAAAATACTAACAAGCATATAGCTTATTCATCAGTAAAGAATCAAACACAATGGTCTCACTCTTCTAAAATTTCCTATACTTTGCTTATTCATTTCTCAGTCTTCAGTTACCACTGATCTATAGTTCTGTAGTTTTGCATTTTTCATAAGGTTTCATAATTGGAAGAATAATTCATTAGGAAGTATTTCCAGACAGACATCTTTAACTTAGAAGTACTTATTTAAGAATTATTAATTTGCTAGCATATAAATAAAATGAGAAGTGGGTCTGAGGCTTTTGATTTCCCCTCACTAATATTTAGTCCTGCAAATTGAAGAATTATAAAGATTTTACTATGTGAAGAACTCCTGGTTCAAACTTATATTTGCTATTCAAATAACAGTATAAATAATTTTTAAAGAAGTTCATCAAAGAGGTACATGAATCATCATAATTTTTCTTGATTTAAAAAGGCATTAAAAATCATTTGGGAGCTAAATAATCTGTGGTCATAAAAAGCACAAATACCAGCTCGATTCTAATAAAATATTGGTTGCATCTGGCTTCCTGACTTGTACCGTGACATTTAAGATATGTACAAATATACATATATATATATATATATATATATATATGTAATATATATATAGAGAGAGAGAGAGAGAGAAAGCACTTGCATTTCCATCTGCTCTTCACCACACATTCTAACACCTGATTTTATTTTCATTTGTTTTTATCTCATGTTTTACATATCATCTGGTGTCCTTATATAGATTAAAATCTCCTTGAGGACAGAAACTGTGTTTTTTCTCTATTACTACATGCAATATGACTTTAAGAAAAATGCTAAATGTTTAAAAGACATCATTTAAACCATGTATAAAAGGATCACATTTTATTATTCTGGTCAAAAATTGACTTTAGTTTTTAATCTATTAAATGGTAATAATTTAAACTAAATCTAATTTTAAATTGTATTTAACAGTAAAAACATACTCTCTTCTTTGCATGAGATTTAAAGTAATTCTTATATACCATAAGACCCTTTCAAATATTATATAATCTCCATATATATATATATATATATATATATGTATACTATCTGATACAAACTGCTGAAGAGATAAAAGTAAGCATGATTTTGACCTCAGATTTCTTACATTAGAGAATGATATTTGGTAGAAGTGTATATATGAACATTATTTTTAAAAAAACTTCAAAAGGAAATAAATTAATTCTATAAAAAGAATATAATTTTATACTGCTTTATATTCATGAAATTAAATTTCATGGTTAACAAAAAGTTCAAAACTGTCAATGAAGAAATGTCTTCAGCCTAATTAACGTCAATTTTTAGAAATATGAAGTGTGTGCTCTGACAACTGGTATTTCCAATTTAGAATAACAAAATCTTGAGACTAGAATTTGAGACAATGGTATTACCTGTTTTGTAATGAAATGTTTCCCATATTTAACACAAACCTTCAATGATGTACTTTGATACCTGTGTCCATTTACAAATTGTTGTTCTGTTGTTGCTGTACTCTGAAAAGAGTCAGCTATCACTCTTCATTTCACCTATGGTTGGTTGAGTCCTGGCAATTGCACAATAATACAGTCCTAGGAACAATCATGTCTTTGATAGTAGGATTAGATAGCTGAATAAATACTAATGTCAAAACAATGTGGAATTTTACTCATCCAAGGGAAAGAATGATATTGTACCATTTGTAAAGAAATGGGAAGATCTAGAAAAAATAATGATAAGTGCAGTAAGTCAGGCCTAAAGTGGCAAAGATGCATGTTTTACCTTATATGTGGAAACTGGATTTAGCTTATAAACTTATAAGTAAATATGAAAGTACATAAACATTTATTAACAAATAAAAACTCAAATAATGTAATTCCTTAGAAAGGCGAAGTCAAAGTATGGCAAAACAAAACACCAGGAAATGGGTACTCAAAAAGGATTGGGTGGGGATAATGGGATAAATGGAAAGGACAAGAGGAGACTGCAGTCAAGAATCCACTGTATACCCTACATAATTAAGAAGAGTGAGAAAAGGTGTGTGGGGGAGGGATGGGTGAGAATGTTGACCGGGGTGACATTGATCAATGTATATTTATAATCTGCTTTGTTAAATGGCAAACCCTTTGTAGAACTACTTAACAATGACAGTTTTTTAAGTGTATTTAAAGATATTGAACAAATGTGTCCTCTAGCTTCTACAGTAAGTTTTTCCAAACATTATGTCTTTCAAATCTACATTTAATTTTGACCTTTTCAACTTGGTCCATATTTATATACTGTATCAGATCCTAGAAGAATCCTTTCTGCTGTATTTAGAATTAAGCAATACTTTATTTCCTTTTAAAAACAGTTTCATTAAATTAAAAACCTCACATTCACCCAAGAACTTTCCTCAGCTTTGGTAAGTAGAGCAACAAATTTCTATCATAATTTCTCTTGTGGGGCTGGGAAGGTGGCTCAGTGGTAGAGCGCTTGCCTTGCATGCTCAAGGCCCTGGGTTCGATTCCTCAGCACCACATAAGCAAAAAGAAAAAAAGCCAGAAGTGGAGCTGTGGCTCAAGTGGTAGAGCGCTAGCCTTGAGCTGAAGAGCTGAAGGACAGTGCCCAGGCCCAGAGTTCAGGCCCCACGACCGGACCCCCCAAAAAAATAATAATTTCTCTTGTGATTAAATAGAGAATAAGGAAGGGAAACAGTACCAAATAATTCCTTGTTATTAGTAGTAAAAGTAGAGATGATCAACAAAAAACCTGTTTTTATAAAAGTATATAAACTCTACTAAAAAGTCTTCACATTCATATGTTTCTCATAAACATCTTATTACCCCAGACAAATTATGATCTTTCAGGCTATGTATCTTCAAACTTTGTTGAATTACAAATTACATTGTTTTTCAATCTTGAAATAGTACATAAATCTAACTTTATCATTAACCATTTTTAGTTGCTTTTCTAAAAAAAGTGAATCATAACCTATTTGTATGGTTGTGTTCACTAGAGGCTAAGAATCTGAAATTACTTAAATTCAACTATTTTGAAAGTTTTTTATTTTTTTGTTAATTTAATCTTCAAATAGTTGTGTATGGGAGCTAAAATTCAGAATGTCTTTATGTGTCTGCTGCATCTTAACCAGAGTTACTCCCTCTATCATTTTCCCCACACTGTCCCCTCACCCTGAGTTATTCCAAGTTTCCCCCTTTTCTTTTTCACATACATACACTGAGTATTATGACTATACGTATTCCCCATTCCTTTTGCTACCCATCAGCCTCCTCCTTCTATCCTATGGTTTATCTTCCTGATATTCCTCAAAAAACCTAAACATAGATTGAATCTAAGATCCAATGCTATCAGTCTTGGGCATTTATCCAAAAGATAACATGGTAGAATACAACAAAGCAACCTGCACATTCATGTTTATTGCAGTAATGTTCACAGTAACCAAGGTATCAAAACAGCTTAGATTTTTGTGGAATCCTAAACCTGAAAATAGTAATTATATTTATTTCTGCAGAATGGGAATAAGAACAAATCAATTATGATGTTTTTTATTATCACTATAGATAAAATCCATTGATAATGGCTATGCAATTATGTCAGGAACAGAATCATTTTAATGTTCTCCCAATGTGGTGATGCTCTATGCTGTGATCATAAAGTATGTTATACTAAATACTCTTCATGCTAAAGAATTATACTTGAGTTACAGAGTCACAGAGTAGCTAAAACATTAGTAGATAACCTTGTGACTGGATAGACCTGATTTGAATTACACGGTTATAACAAAATGTACTGTGCACTTCTGACAGGTAGACTACAAACTACATTGAAATTTGAGTCCAGAAAACAAATTAAATCCTGGATATAACTAGCTACAATTTATAGTAATTGGATTCATATCTTAACCATCCTTAAAGAAAATAGAATGATAGCAGAAAAGAAGTGATTCCTAAAAATTTCATCAGAAAACACAGAAAAATGAAGTGGTAGTCATTTCAGCTCTTTTCTCACTTTCCCTCACCTTGAGATATAATATGATGGATTGCATCATGTGTTAGAATGCCTTTCTATGTGGTTTATCTAGAAACTAAATGCTTAATCACAAATGTTTAAGTGGTCTCAAATTAATGCAACAGAATACAAATAAGTGCCACTTAAATGCATCACTTCTATAACACAATGTTGAATGAAAAGGGGCAATTTGAAAAAGTATGATGTTTCATTAGTAAAAATTTTAAATTTTTCAGAGCAAAACTTTTCATTTTAGGTATAAACTGTTAGTGTCAAAGTACAAAATGTTTGCATGAGAATTATGAGCATGGATTTTAATATTGTTTATATCTAGATTTATATCTAGAATTTAAAGATATGAAACCAATCCCCTAAAATAACTAAGGCAAATCATGAAAAAAGAGTTAGTGTGCTAGTGTTTAAAATTAAAATCTAATAATAAGCATGTATATTTCCTTTGATAGATAAAATGATTTTTAGATTTTTTTTCTCAAAGTACAGGTCTATCCAAAGTTGTTTTTTGTTTTGTTTTGTTTTGCTTCTTTAAGTAGGTATGGTAAAC